ATCTCACCTCAAACACCTCGTCACTATCAACCTCATTCATCCAGCACGCGCGGAGCCTGGAAACCGCGCAGACGTGGCAGAGTACTCTCCGGCGATCGCCAACGACGCATTCCCCGCCTTGCGCAATCTCTCCTTCAGCGCTCAGGTCATGGACGGCGCACAACTCCTTAGAGACACGCTCTTTCCCGCCCAGCTCACGGAGCTCCATTTCAAGACGACGGTCACCGCGAGTCCATTCGCCCTTCAACAGTTCTTCTGTGCCATCCGAGACAGATGCACGTCGCTCGTCACACTCTCTGTCGACTACATCATCGCACCCGACCATCCCCTCACCATCCCCGCGCCCCCTCTCCAGGACCGCCCGTCGATCGTGACCTTCCGCCCGCTCTTCGCCGCGCGGTGCCTCCGCAACTTCGAGTTACGCTGGGACTACTCACTGAACCTCGCAGACGAAGACATGGACGAGCTCGCGCGCCGATGGCCCTCGCTCGAGAGCCTCCAGCTCAACTCTGAGCCAGTCCCCGAGTCGGACGGCCCGAGCCTCACCCTGCGCGCACTCCTCCCCTTCGCCCGCCACTGCCCGAACCTCCGCCATCTCGGGCTGCACATCAATGCGCAATGCGTGCCGACGCAACCCCCTCTCCCCCCCCTCTCCCTTCCCTCCGCACACGACGTCCCCGTCCCGCGCTTCAAGCGGCTCGAGAGCCTCGCCGTCGGCCTCTCTGCGATCACCAAGCCCGAGCCCGTCACGCTCTTCCTGAGCCAGCTCCTCCCGCTCGGGTGCCGCGTCTGCTGCGGGCTCCGCTGGCCGGACGCGTTCGACATCGCGATGGAGCACGCGCTCGTCCCGGTCAGCGTGCGCGCGGCGATGTCGGCGTGCTGGGCGCGGTGGAACGACGTCGCGAAGCTGCTCCCGATCGCGACCAAGGCGAGGATGGACGAGAAGGCCCGGATCGAGGCCCTCGAGCAGGCGATGCTCGCCATGGAGCTCTCGAGCAGGCGGGACAAGCAGCGGCTCTGCTCGCTCGAACGCGAGGTGCAGGATCTGCGCGGACGGACCGGGATGACGCCTTGACCTCGGGCAGGACCGGCTCTCCGAGTCCATCTTCGTGCTTTGCTTGGGCCGCACGGGCCGGTGTGCACTGTGCCCTGGTGAGTCGTCCTTGCCGCGCACGCGCCTTGGCGAGCAGAGACGTGGGTGATGGACCGAGGTGCAGATTAGGAAACGAGCTGCAAGAGCAAGAGCAGAGGGTCGCCGCCCGCAGCCCTCGGCCATGGCCAGCCACCGCCCCGCCCCGTATTATCTCCGACCTATCACGTTCGGCCTCGCCGAGAGGAGTGACAGTCGCATGACATATCCGCCCGACAGGCTGCTGCCATCTTCGTCGCCCGCACATCCTACCGGTTCTCCGACCTTGTCGCGCAGAAGCCCCGCGTGCCACGCCGCCTGCGTCACTGCTCTCTCCCCGTGTCCCCCCGTTCCCGCACACGTACTACATACGCTATCCTGACCCACCTCTACTTGCAGACTAGACACGTGTGCTTGCGCACTATGTATCAATTATATGTATCATACATTTGCTCACTGATCCTAGCGGTCCACGGCGAGACGTCCATGTCAATCACCATACCAGTTGCTATGTCTACTCGAGTCCGTGCGCGTTGTATTGAGTGCCGAGCCCTTCCATGCGGTTCCAGTCGAGAACCGCCCGTTTCTTCTCCTGCGCTATGATTAGGGAAGCAAACGGAGATCCTCTCGAGCACTTCCCCGCCTGTCGTTGACAGCAGCGCTCCGCGAGCCCGGGCGACTGCCACTTACGCCGCTCGAAGCTAACAAGAAGTGATGACCTCAGCAGGCTGCCGCGGAATCCCAACGATACACTTAGCGCGCCTTCGAGCTACCCCTGCCCCCGTGGATTGTCAGCCCACGCTCGCGAGAGCGAGGGCGGGCAGAGGGCGACAGCGACCCTTCGGACGCTGAGAAGGTGCCAGGTACCTTCCCCTTCACATGCAGAACCTTCCACCGGGAATGTGGATGGTGCTGGTTGCCAGGCGGGGACGCTCGAGCTTGCCCCCCTGGCCCAAACGAGGCTTATCGGGGTAGGTTGGTAGCGGTAGTCCGAGTGGGAGTGAGCACTGTGCGCATCTGCCGCGGCCGGCGAGGCGCCGCGTGAGCTTCGAGAGACGTCGGGGATGTAGTCCAGAAGGGTGCGCGGAGGAAGCACAGAACGCTGGGTTCAGGGGCGCTTCGGCCGCACGGAACATTTACTGCCCTGCGGAAAGGATGTGAGGTGCGAGGTGCGAAGTGCGAGATGCGGGGTGTGTGTATCGGAGATGGTCATATTGTCTCCATTCTGCCTGTTATGTACACAACGATGAGCGGAGTTCCATCAGTGTCTGTACACCGCACGCCCTAGTACACCTACGCCTACATCATACCCCCTCTCTCCGTACTTGACGGAGCTATTGTATTGTCGACCTTCATAGTCATTCGTCCACGCTCACTTCTTGCTGGGCTGCTGTTAGTAGCGCGACGGCGGCGATTGCCCGTAATGATACGCCAGCATCGCGTCCGAGTGGGTCATCGTCAGGTTGAAGAGCGGGTGTGTCGCGTTCTGCGCCATCGCAAGCAGGACAAAGGAGGTGGGGACGAACACATCGGTCAGAAGCCGTCGCATGCGCCCGTGGCGAGGAGGCCGGCCGCGAGCACGCAGCCGCCCCGATACGCGTGCAGGAGAACTCACCACGCGATTGGCCGCACCGCCGACATAGGTCGCCGTGCCCTCCTCCTCGACCCATGACATGACGTGTGCGAACGTCCGCTTGCGCAACTCGGCCAGCCTCTCACGGTCTGCGTCTGAGTGGGCGACGTAGGCGGTGCCTGGGCGCCGCGGGGTGCGTCAGCACATGCCAGCGAGACTCGACCGAACCCGCCGCTGCCCTCTGCTCCGGGGGCGAGCCGAGGAGGGGAGGGACACTGGAATCGGGACGGGCGGACGCACCGTCTTTGGCGGCAGCTTCGGCTGCGTTCCAGGCGGCGGTGACAGCCTTCTCGCGCGCGTCGGAGGGGATGACACGATGCTGCGCGGCAGATAGACCGGCTGAGCAATACAGCGTATGGTACGCGTCCGCGGGCCTGGAGGAGCGGGCCACGGTGTAAGCCATGCGTACGTCACACCGGCCGCGTCTGCGGCGAGCGAGGAGACGTACTTGGGTGGTTTGTCCCGCAGTCCGCCGGCGGGATGCTGCCCGGCACAGAGGATGTACTCCTGCAGCGCGCGCCGGTCGAAGAGCGAGTCTGTGTGTCGTACGTGTGGACGCGGTACCACACGGCGTGGGGGAGCGGGCGCAAGATGTCATTCAGTACAGGACATTCGGTGAAGGAAGACGGTTTCGGATATGCTTGCAGGGAGGCTCACCGTCGACGTCGTCCCACGTCCTGTGCGCGTCTTCCTGGCCTTCCTCTTGACGTTCCTCCGTAGCGGTGTCACGCTGCGCTCCGATGCCCAGGAGGGTCTCCACGAGGCCGACGCAGCCACCGACCCACCAGCTGTAGCACCCGTCGACGAGCTTGTTCGTCCGCCCCCGGAAGCCGCCGAGCTCGATGGGCGATCCCTGCATCTGTACACACCACCGAAGCAGTGCGCGGGTGTTGATTGCGGGCGTGCGGCCATCCGCCGGTGGAAGGAGCTTGATGAACGGTTGGAGGAGAACCCAGGAGGCGGTGGCACAGAAGGTATATCCCCCGTGCGCCTCGCCGAGAGGGGGCCGAGGCGCCGTCGGGTCGTACGAACCACCCGGGAGACGCTCTGCCTCCAAGTCATCTGCAGCAGGTGCGTGGTCAGTATGCCGTATAACTGGATGGATGTCAGACAGAACGGACCACGTTCGAATGCCCAGCCGGGAAAGGAGGCGTTACAGAAGCCGCCTTCGTACGTTTGGCAGGTGGCTAGGAAGGTCGGGACGCCCACGAGAAGCTCCGGGGTGAGTATGTTCAGCAGCGTTGCTACGGCAAGGAGGCAATATATGCCCCTGTAAGCATACCGTGTGAGATAGTGCAGGACGGTGCGGATGAAATGGACTGGCCTGACGTCGACTTCTCCGTGGTGGCTCACAAGGAACGAGCCGTCGGGCTGTTTCAGGGACATAAAGAACTCGTAGACTTTCTTCCTGTGGGATCATTGTGAGCACCGGGAGGGCGGTCCATGATTCGGGACCATCGTCGCCGCACCGATCTATGGCATCCCAGCCGCCGCCTTCTCCCGGTCGGCCGACGATGGCGAAAGCACAGACGGCAGCGTATGTGGGAAGAAGATGCGCGGCCTGTCCAGGGCCGCCCGCAAATCCTCCATCAGGGTGTTGCAAGGCGAGCAAGGTTTCGACCGTCCTATGATAATGGGAAAGACAGGCGGTCAACAACCGATCAGTCGCTGAGTCCACGTGTACCACGAGTTACCGTCGTTTCGTCTGATCATCGAGTCCAACGCCAAAGACGCTGAAGCCTTGCAGCGTCCAGAAGATCAGCCAGGGCTGGCTGGCGTCTTGGGAGGTATACCGTTCTGGGAATCCTTGTCGGAGATTCCGGAGGAGAAACTCGAAGTGGGCCCTCTTCTGAAGTTCGACCTGAGCTGTTCCGGCTGGCGGAATATGCTTCTTGATCGCATCTTCTGTTTCTGTTTGGAGTGTTGAAGTGCTTGTGCCGTATCCATCCGTCGGCGTGGGTCGGAATTGGTCAACCATCGGTGCCACTGACAGTGAAAGTCTGGGGCTAAGACAGAGATTCGAACACCAGTATCTGCGATCGTTGGGGCTCAGCACTCAGCGCTCATGTTCAACATGTGTAAAATCCAATCTGAAGAACTCATACATACCACAACTGAATGCTGGAAAGGCCTAACACAAGTGAGCGCACTGAGTGAACAATCAAATAAGCATGTAAGTCACATAGAGTACTTACTAATTAGACAATCAAGGGAGAGCCTTTACACCAAGCCAATATGTCCCGTTTAGCTCAGTTGGTAGAGCGCGTCACTAGTACCACGTTGGTATGACGAGGTCAGTCGTTCGAGTCGGCTAATGGGAATTTTTTGAGATGGTCTTTTTTGTTCACCTTCGGCGCAAGATTCTACGATCTATAGCTACACAGTCACAACCGTGGTACACGAATGCACCTCATTCTCCTATTGGGAAGTCAGGCCCATAGTCCATCAACAGCTCAGTGCCAGCATCCATATTCTTGGCTAGAGCGCGAAAGTGAAATGACTTCGAAGACGGCAGGGGCGATCGTAACTCACTGGCATATATCCCAATCCGCTGGTCTCCTCCCACCGACATGACTGACAAGAAAAAAGTGTTCATCGTCAATTTATACGGTGCACACAGAGACATGGACTCACTATGTACTATCACATTGGCTTTTGCAGAATGGTTGATGAATCTGGAAGGGTTGCCGACATACATCCCATCGACGCACTCGCAGGTCTTGCCAGAATTCGACTTGAGCATGTCAAAGATGTAGCTCCTCTTGAGGCATGCCGACACCGCGCTACAGGTTAATGGAAGGATGAGATCGTGCCCAGTTTGGGTTCTAGCCCTGACCGACCTCCTGGAGTCGACTGTAGGCTCGTATATCAACTCTCCCAGGTATTCTGTCCGAGTGCAAGAGGTATGCGATCAGCGGAGTATGCAGGGGAGGTGTAGCTGAGACTCGCCTATGACGAGTTGGCCCCTCTTCACAGGCTCGGCAAGGAAGAGGCCCATGCCATGGTTGCTCTCCCTGACTTCGGTGCTCTGACGATGTCGAAGTCGAAGAGGAGATGGAGTGTGATTAGTAGTGCGCCAACCGACTCGGGTATACCGCGCAAGCGTACCTTGAAGAGTCCTCTCTGAAGATTTGTGTTCTCGCATTTGGGGATGCACGACGAGCACAGCTTCGGGTCACACTCTCTTCGGGCTTTCCTGCACGGGCATAAGTTTGTCAAACAGGCGGACACCACGTTTCGCTTCTTCCTGCCAGGCAGCGCCATCCCGCATTGACATCCGAGTGCCGTCGACCCTGTCTCTGTCGCAGGATGCAGTGGTCCGTCAGAACTCGGCCGTACTTGTGTGCATGTCAATATTGCGTCCTCACCAAGTGTATCGGACACTTCGCTGTTCTGAGATTTTGCGAATCTCTTGCAGATGACAGCGATCTATAACGTATCATGGAGTCAATAGCTCGTGGACATGCTAAATGATCCTAACCTCGTAGCACGTTTTGAGAGAGACCTTGGCCAGGTTACAAGGCTGCGTAGGCCCGGAGAGATAGCAGAGCAAACGAAGTTCGTCGAGGTCAGCATCGCTCCATTTCACCTCGCCCTGGCATGCTCGTGAGCTTACAAACATGGGCCGAGACAACGCTCGCGACTCACTTCAAGAGCGTTGGGATGCTCGACAATGCACCGCTCACCGCAGGATTCGTCCGGGGACAAACACTGGAGCGGCTCTCTTGCTGTGTAGTCGGGCATGACGTGCCCGTTGACTAAGAGTCGACAGAGATTAGTACTGGTCACTGAGCGAGGTGCGGAGGCGCACCATGAGTGAAGCAGTTCGCTTGCACGCATCCTGGGTCCGGACACCACAGCGCGACGAGATCGCGTACTCGCGAGACGAGGTCGTGAGGCTCGGGCGGTGATAGATCCGGAAGTGGTGGGTATCGCGTGCGCGAAGAGCCCGGCCACGGGATGGGATCGCTATAGTCTCGATGGTCAGCGCGCACACCGCGTTCGAAATGAGGTAGATTAAGGCGCACTTCGTTTTGCCCATTGCGATCGCGCCGCCAACGACGGACCGCGTACAGAGCGTGAGCGGTAGGACGCCCGTCTCGTCGATCTCCTCCATCGACAGCCCATGCTCGTAGTGCAGGCGGCGTGCGGTCTCCAGAACGATCTCGAGTGCTGGTGATTTCCGAGGATGTCAGCATCAGCGCATGCATACCATAACAGACTCAGTCGCGCCCCGTACCGTCCGAGTCGCGGTAGGGCTCTTGCCATGCGAGAGACTTGTGTGTACTGAGGTAGAACTCCTTGTCAAAGTCCGGATCGTCGGCGAGTGGTAGAAACGCCATAGAGTTCGGATCGTCTCCATGTAGGATGTTACGAGAAACAGGAGTGCAAGACTCGTATGGAGGGTAGGGAGCAAGTGGAGTCATGTTCGAGAGGTCGATGTCCTCGTACGTTAGCTCCGTAACGCGCATGTCGTCGGGAGAGTCGAGATTGTGGTACACGGTGACGGTGTCCTGTGTGTCACTGCTAGTAGTAGGTAGCAATGCATGTCGCCCGTCGACGGTCGCGTCAAGTGTCGCCGCCGGAGCATCGATGTCCATCGCGTCAGACGAGCGACCGGGAGTGTCGGACACGCGAAGAGAGGAGATGATCTCTGCGCAATACGTCGGCTCCCATTCGTAGTAGTCATTCCAAGAGCTAGCATATTGTGCAATGGCAATGTCGCGTGTCTTATCTCTGCGGTCATCCATGTTGATATTGTAGACACCGGTGGCTGCTGGTAAAACCGGTGGCTGCTGGTAGATTGGCGTATTGGTCCGAGTCACTGCCAATTTGAAGGTGGACTCTGTTGAACTTCTTGAAAGCGTAGTCCAAGTCAGTATCAACTTGCTTGCTGATAGTCCTAGCATATACCGTATTTGTGGCTTACTGGGGGCAATGGTATAGCCAGCTAGGTTCGGACGGCTGACTCGGAGAGTTGCCAGAGCCTAGTCGCACAGACTGGGAGAGAGGTACTCTAGGCGCCCCGTGCCACAAGCGCGTTGTTTGTCTCTATTTGTCACCTAAGTGAATTTCCCGTCCCTTCTGCCTCGAAGCTTCAAGCTTGCCTTCTGCACTTTCTATTATGTCCACAATGCCCCACTACACATTACCCACTCTTATATTCGAAACAATCTTCTAGATATTTGCAATCTGCAGTCCCGCTTGACTTTCAAGGTATGTCATGACTCGACCGGACTCGAGCCCACCTTCAAGTTGTATGTCCTCCCCGTTCTCGCGTTCGGGTCTAATGGAGTGTCACCGTACACGGTCCACAAGGTAGGGAGATCTGGTTGTCTCAGGTATTCTTCATAGGTAATCAGAAGGGCTACCCATGTAGTACGTCCTGATGTCTAGATTGGCGCGAAGCGGTGAGCTCAAGATCTCTAGATGTTATCCGCTGTGCTGAGCTACATACTCCTGTGTTGTAGCTACGGACCAGTACGCGGTCCTGACCCGGCCGCTAGCTCGGCTTATTGAACAGGCTCGCCCCGGAGCACCCGTTCCCTACGGGCGTGAACGACGCGTACGCTGCTGTCAAAAGGGTCAGTCCAACGTGCTTCATTGTATATATGTGGCTTTCCGCCTGACGTTTTTCAATGCACAGACAGCAGAAAACGCCCAGTTGCTCCGCGTCTCGCTGGACAAGGGCTTCATCGTAGGTGGCGACTCCTCAGGTGCGAACCTCGCAACTGTATGCGCGCATCTCGCGCGGCGCGACGACCCCTTCCTGGGATACAAGGTGACCGGACAGCTACTCCGACAGCCATTCGTAATCGACCCGGACGCATGTCCTAAGCAGTAAGCCAGCCGGGGCCTTGCGATGGGTGTAGCGAGTGACTGACGCTGGATGTTTCCCAGATACAAGTCGGACTATCGCTCCTTGGAAGAGTTCAAAGACGCCCCGCTCCTGACGCGCGACACGCTCGACCAGTCTCGCGGTACGTCCCTTCGTGCATACGGTTGCACACCCGTGTACTGACCACTGACCATCTGGCACGCGCCTCCTGTCCCACTTCTCAGCTCTTCTCCAGGCCGCTCCGGACGACCCGCAGTTCTCTCCCCTCCTTTTCCCATCGCACGTGGGCGTCGCGCCTGCTTTTGTGACATACAACGGCACGGACATCCTCCGCGACGATGGTCGCATTTACGCGAGGGTCCTCAGCGATGCCGGGGTTAAGGTGAAAGCTGAGTGGTACGTTATTTTCTGCGTTTTTCATGGACTGCTCTCGTACGGCCAGCTCAAGCTTCGTTGCTTTACTGTGATTGCGGGAACTCAACTATCCGGGTCTTCCGCACGGATTCTATGAGTCGTACCCGACTATCAGCATGGCGAAGAAGCTCGATCGCCACACGAGAGGGGGGCTGACTTGGCTGCTTGCGGGGGCACCTTAAGAGCCCACCGCTCATGCGAGCACAGAGGGGTGGCACTCAGGCTAGCAGGACGCTGTGCGGGGTTATCAAACTTTCCCTTGCGCTGGCCCCGGTGGCCACGGTCACAGCGTCGTGGGTAGACAATAGTACGAGAGAGATCCTTTCGAAGACTATGTCGACAGACTTTGCGTCCGAATGTGTCTCACCTCTGCAGTGTTGTCTGGTCGTACGTAGATATCGATGTCGGGTCGAACGGGATGGTGGATTGCCAGAAAGGCGCTGAAAGCCACAAGCGCGCTGTTTGTCACTGTTTATGCTCTCTGAACCTGGCGCCAGTTAGGGGCTGCGCTTCCTGCAGCGCTCTCACTCATCTTCGCTGATTACCAGCACCATGGGGCATTTTCCGCCGGATTCCGACGGATTCCGCCGGATGATGGCGGACGTCGGCGGGCCACGCGAGCGGTGAGACAATGGCCCGCTCGTTGACCCTTTGACCAGATCAATGGCTTCAGCCATACCCGCCTGTACTTCAACCCTACCAGGCTCTAGTAACTATCGCCACCACTAGTATGAACCAATCCGTTTAATACCGCATACCTTGCCTCATTCTAACAGACCGCGTATACTAATGGCAATTCTATGTTCCTTCTATGTAGTTCACATGGTCCTTGCCACTGCCATGCCAGTGTACGTCCATAGTCCTTGTTATACCGTGACATGCTTTCTGACACTGGCATACTAAGGTTTGCGTTATCACTCTAGACATACTGACGACACCTTAAGCCTCGTCATTGTGCACCCGCCACTAGGGATGAAGCCCTCAGAGCCTCGGCTTCAGCCCTGTCCGCTGAATGTGTGCCGCCAACTTGGATGAAGGCTAGCAGATGCAAGCCTTCAGCTGAGTCTG